CATGTAGACGCTAGACAATTATTCCAGTGTCCTAACGGAATAAATGGAAACCTAGCAATGGTAACACTTTCGATATATTATTTACCAAATGTGATGTCTCTTACCAAAGAGATCGCAACACCATATATATAAGCTCATGTTCCACTCTAGAGCAAGACCCTAGGAGGTCTTCTCTAAAATCTCTTAGGTCCATTTTGGATCTCGAAGTCAAAGATGAAGGCAATAAAGGTAAAGACCCCAAAGAGTTTGAGTTCAATAAATGCAACAGCGAGTAAGTCATTAACGAGAGAGAGAGATCTTAGGCTATGCAATAGATTTCTGCACAGGCGGGTAGTTAGATCTATGTCTCCACTAAAGCTCCATTCATTTTTCGGTAAGTTATTTACCTGGGTAAATGTAGTTATTTGGATAAGTTTTTCCTCGGAAATATTTATCCAGGTAAGTGCATTTATCCATGTTCTTTTATTTCTCATGTAAATAAGACAATGATCATTTTAATCATAAAAATCCATTATTAAAAAGAACATTTTTATTCCATTCAAGTGTTGGCAACTTTCCCCCTGGGTGGGAAAGTTATTTATCCACCTAGGAGATGAGTATCACTTAACCGGGTAAGTGGTAAATAGGAAAATAAATTTTTCCTGATCTCTACTTAAATCTAAAAAAAGAACATGGGATTTTTGGTCAATGGGAACCAAAATCCCATTGACCAACTTTCCCCTCTCTCAAAATCTGAAAGAAGAATGCCCTCTAAGAAATACACAGTTTCAATGGAATTAAGAGAGAGAGAGAGAGAGAGAAGCTAATGAACATCATCTTGACTTAGGACAATTGTGAGAGTAAGCAGACAGAAACTCCAATAGGCTGTATTTGGTTTGAAAGAAAGGGTAGAGAAACACACCTACCTTTCCCTTCCTTTCCCTACCTTTTATTTCCAACCAAACACAAAATTAGGGAACCATGCCTTCTTCTTCTTCGAGGTCATATTTTTCTAAAGGAGCTCCAAGAGATGCAAATGGGATTTCCTACTCACTTTTCCTACCCACTCTCTACCCGCTGTGAATTACAGTCACACATCTCTCAATTCACAGCGGATAGAGAGTGGGTAGGAAACCTAGATTTCAAAAGATGGGCCTTTTCGCAAGACTTACATTAGTGAAAGCGAATGAACAAGGGAACGATAAAGATAAGTTCTGGCTCTCGTATCCACATGTGTGTTTATATTATCATCAATGCCAGATAATTAAATAAGGGTGAACCGTGCCAGGCCTTTTCTAGGCCTGGTGCAAAACCAGCCCAGGCCAGGCCAGGCCAGGCTAGAACATAAAACCTAAGCCCAAGTACGAAAATTTCTGGGCTGGGCTAGGCCAGGCTCGAGCCATAAATGAATACCCCTAGAATTTAATCATTAATTAATATAAATATAGGGGTGATCATTCTTGGCCCGCCCTGGCCCAGCCCAGGCTGCAAAATTTCCGGGCCTTATATAGATGAAAGCTAAAGTCTTCTTCTCATTCCCTAAGTAATATAGGACTTGCTCAAGAATGGGAGTGAAACTCAATCCAAATCAAGCCTAACAATTAAATGAGGCCTATGCCTTTTTTTTTTGTGCTATAGGCCTAAAGCCTAACAAGCCCAATTTAATTTTTGCTTGTATAATATTTTTTGTATATATTGCATCTACATGCTATTTAATTTGAAAATTTTAAATATATAAATAATTTTTTATTTTTTGATATGGGACCAAAGGTATTTTACACATTAGACCTGGCATGTAAGTCCAGCCCGGGCCCAGCGCATGATCACCCCTATATGCATGGTTGTTGCTTCACAACTGATGCCTTTCACACCCTTTTCTTGAATACTAGTAAATGTGCATGTGCTTTGCACGTGGCAATTTCAAATGATAACAACAACAACAATAATTGTATATATATATATTGGTGGTTTATTGCCTTTCAACCTAAAAACTTGTATCAAATCTTCTTACTTTATAGCTTATATCAATATTTTCAATTTATTCTGACAATTGAACCATTGCTTGCCCAGAGACTACTTAGACTAATTGAATTGTTAGTTGACCTGGATTTTAGATTCATTTTCCACCAAATTGCTTGTTTGTAAAAAACCATTGACTTGGCCAACAACATGGTGACCTAGCTAATAAAACCATTTTATCATTTGATTTGTTTGGTAGGGTGATGGAATAGTCATTAATTTTCTCTTTTCATAATTTTTGTATTCCATTTCCTTCATTTAACAAACATGAAAGTGGTTTCATTGTTAAGGCAGTTTTAAACTTTGTATTCCCTTTCTATCATTAATAAAAATTCTTCTTATTTATCATACTTAAAAATCAGTTTTATTTCCAAATTGATTTTCAATATACAGGTTTTTATACTAATAAAATTGTTATTCGTGAATTTAATTAGTAAAATTTAATGATGAAAAACAAAATTACATTAAGCATATGATTCAATGAGAGGGAATGAAAGTTAACCTTAAATATGAGACTTAATGAGAGAGAATGGAATAAAATAAAAAGTAGTATTCAATTGACAACTTGTATCTTCATAAGAGAGAGAGAGAAGGGGTGAGGGAGGGAAGTTAAATTTGTCCAACTAAATACTCCATGCAATTTCAATTACAATTCATTAAGTTAAGTGATTTATAGATGTCTATATAGACACATTGTGAGTTGTCAAAAAACAAAAAAAAAGACATGTTGTAGATGCATAAAACAAGAAGTTAACAATGGAGGGCTCAATTTGTCCTATTTTGATCTCATTTTAGACAATCAGCAAAATACTTGATTTTCCCCTCAAATTCAAATATGAAAGCATTGACATAAAGGGGAAAAATACCTCTTATAGATTTTTCAAAAAATTCAGGGGTTCTTAATGATTTTTTCCCAAAAATAAAAGTCACTAATTTGTAAATCCTTTTCTAACCTGTCCTACAATTGCTCCTTGCCTTCTCTTGGGCCTTAAAAGAATTGACTTTGAATTTTATCTATCTCTTTTAGGGTATGTTCATTTGAAAAACATTTGAAATAGAGGAATTACATTTTTTTTTGCCTCATGGATATACAACAGGGATGGCCCATCCCCTAAACCCATAACCTCCAACCCATGTGCAAGTGGGTTTTGATTCCAAGTCTATCAACTACAACCACCAAGAGCCCTTACTGACTGGCCAGTTGGTGCATTGTAAATAGAAGAACCACATAAACTTATTTGATAAGGATAGCTCTTTCATCTTTAAAAGGAGTTTTCAATTTCCAACCCTAACTTTTCTTCTTAATTTTAGTTGTGCTGTTATTAGGAGCCTTCTTATCAATTATGCCTTCAATAATTGGAGCATCCAAATATGGGATGCTCATAATCTTAGAAATCAATTTTTAAAGCCTATATGGCAAATTTTATTCAAGAAAAAATTGACTTTTTGAAATGGATATTTCGGATGAGACCCTCTCAAACAACTTGATATTGGGCAAAAAATAATTATAAACCAATGGAAAAGCTAACCCAAAAACCATTGTTTTGAAAACAGGTCCAAGTTGGACGATCAAACCGTTTGACCTAGGAACCAATCATAGTTTTGGGTCCGATTGAAAAAAACATTGACTTTGTCAAAATCACTAACCTGGGCAGTCTAACAGCTAAACCGTTTTAACCCAGACAATGATTTAAGTATATATTACTATATATATGATATTATTTATATTATATATATATATATATATCAATATATTTAAAATATTGTTTATATTTTAAAATTTTTATTTATTTTTCAAAATAAATACAATTAACTAAAAAAATTTGGAGATTCAAATCCCCATGGGAAACTTGTTCCCATCATGGATCAAGGATGGAAAACAACTTTTATCTCTGATGGGGATCAGAGTTGAAAATAGGGATTTATTTTGAAATTGAGGGTTGGGGATGAAGAATATGATCCTTTGCCCTATTGCCATTCCTAGAAATAATGTTCTTAAACAAGAAATAAATTGTCGACGAGGAAAAGCTTGAACAAGCAAAAACATTAAGTAGTAAGATGGATCGTATAACCAACATATCTTGAACTTGAAGGGTAATCACGGACGAAAGGCATGGGAAGTCGGAAATGAAAGGAGCAACACCGCCATATTTCCAAGGTTTTTAAAATTGGACCGGACAAGGAATTGTTCTAGGGTTCGATTCTTGGGTTGAATTATCCAACCATCCGATCCAAATGGATGGCCCGCTCTAAAAAAATTAAAAAAAAAAAACAAAAAAACGACCAAAAACCATTGTTCAGGTCGATGGTTCAACTGCTCGAGTCAACGATTCATTGACCAAATCAATGATTTTTTGACAAAAGATGATTTTGGGGTGAAAGGTTTCCAATTTTTCTGGTCTGACCATCCAGTCCAGACCGGTTTTGAAAACTCTTTGAACTTGGTAATTAAAGATTGTTAAAAAAATGGAAAATCTATGATGCGGGAAAGACATGGTATTGGAAGAGTTTTGACCAATCAAAACCCACCCATGAATTTTGATAAATAACACCTGATTGGCTACCACAATTATGATATCAGTTGATTGGTCAAAATTTGTTTAGATATCATATCTTTTCCATATCATAGTTGAACCCTAAAAAAAAGAGTAATTAAAGATGTTTTTTATACCATTTCTGTTTCTAACTAAAACTTTGGTCTTTGGATTGATAATACAAATTGGCATAAAACTGTAATTCAAGGCTGTTTGGCATGTGTGAGAGGGAGGCTGTTTATACAAAAATCAAAATTTGGCATTTCTTGCTTCAGGAGAGTGAAGTCTAATCATTCTAGCTTAGGAGATTCTCACCAATTTGTATTGAACAACCTCGTTTCAGGTGGAAACAACAGTGGTACCAAAACAACCTAAACGAACCCTCCACTTACAGCTCCAAGCCTCCAATAAGCAAGGACTGTGAGAGGGTGGTCTCATCAACAGTTCATAATCATTGCCCAAAAGATATGCTTCAACTGTTTAAGAATTTCAATTAGAGGGTTCTTCATGCAGCTTTTGATCTATATGAGGAAGAAAAGGCGACCATACAATACTTGATATCATCATTCAACTCAGAGAAGAAATGGAAGCCGCAGGTTAAATACAACAATTTATGCAAAGCGAAGAAAATATGCCACCTGAAAAGATATTTTTTCTTATTATTCCACAATGCAAATGAATCACGAGCTATGCAAATACATACACTGCTAACCACGTATAGAGCAGGGGGTTTTTCTACTTTACAATCTCTACCGCCTCTGTTCATTCAAGATCTTCCCCTCAAAAAATTCACTCAGCATCCGATCAAGATCCTCAGCCGAGAATCTTATATACTTCTGTGGGTTTTTCCCATTCTCAATCATAGGCCTGTAAATAATCCCGTGGTAAGAATCACTTTTTTTATCAATAACTGAAACAGTAGTAAGAATCGTAAGGAAGAAGGCAGGATATAGAAGAATCTAAGGTTTTAAAATAATAGAACACACCCAAAACGTTTGAGGAAAGATCTATATGCAGGCAAGAGGACTTCTGCAACTGCCAGCCTCAAAGACTCCCTGAGCTCACTGTCAGGCACTGTCCACTGGGATTGTCTCTGATGAAGCTCCTCAAACTGTATATTAAAAGTCTTGAACCTGATGAAGTAAAGAACTGCTGCTTAGTTTGCGAAGTATGTATCAAGAAATAAAACAAGCTAATAGAGAATCTAACTGACCTGTCCTTCACCATTGCTCTTGAAATCCCACTGTTATCACTTCCAGTTGCACTATTACTACCGCCACCAGATGGTCCCACACCTTGGACAGATACGCATTGCAGAATCTGCAGGCAAAAGATCAATAAGCTGAAAAAAAAACAGATGATTTCTCTTCAAGTTATTCTTTTGAAATGATATTCATTGAGTGTAAAATTGCTCTATTAAATACTTATTATAGTAGTATTATTTTTGAAAATAATGAAATTAATATATGTAAAAGATTTTATCTTTTAGATGTGATGATTTCCACATTTTTAGAGGAAATTTAATGTTCTTAATAAAGAGAATTGCTATTTTTTCAATTGCTATACATTCTGAATGGCATATACAAGTGGGAACTAGCTAAAACCCAAAAGTTAGTTCTTTATATTATAAAATTCTTATCGCCTAGGTGCGACTAGGCGCCTCAGTTTCACCCAGAATCGCCCAGACACCTTGAAAACTATGACCCCAATTTGGTAAGAAAAGTGGGTGTTCTCTAGGCCATATTGGCATGAAAAAGAGATTCTGTTATTTGATCTGTGATCCCTTAGCCATATCCATTGGGATATCTAGAAAGAAAACTGAACCATAAATCTTTAATAGTTTGGGAAGGCCCTTGGTGAGCATGTGTATATGTTAGCGGTGTTTTGACCAGTCCTTTTAGCTCCCCCCCCTTACCACATATCCATGGATCCGTTGACCTATATTTTTTTTTTTGGCTTGAATCATCCTATCAGTCTTGGAGTCTCCTACCTCTATGTTCTTGTAATTTTAAGTGTTCTGCAGTATCCAAGCAACATATCCATCGCTTCTGCCCTTATGGGGTCTGCAACTCCAATGGGGCCAGAAAAGGCATCTTCCCACTGATTTACAATCCACACCCATCATATAGGTAGCTACAAGCTGAATAAGCATGCTATTAAATGATAAATAATGTTATACAAAGATACATATACCTATATAAATGCATGTGTTTTCTTTGTTGAACCATAAAAATACACCATAAAGTACCTTTTATTTTTTATTGGTTACTTCCACAGAGGTATGCCATGTGGAGAATCCATGCCTTTTATAGTCATGGCATTCCATTAGAGATCATTAAAGAGAGGCAACACTTGTTTCACTCAAGATCAGAGGTCAGAATTTACTTTGTTCAAGATCAGAGATCAGATTCCTTAGACCTCTCCTATTTTCTGTTTTTGTTTTACCTTTTTTAGATGAACCATTCCTGTGAGGTAATGATGTGGAGCCCAGAAAGAGCAGGCAAAAGAGTAAATAATTAGCACACCCACATTGATGACACCACAATCAAAGGCTTAGGGTAGAATCCAAAAATAACAGGATATGAAAAGTGTGAAGAGACTTGGCATATCCTTTTTTCTTTTTTTATCAATAACAGATTCATTTCATTAATGAAAAGTGAAGGAAAGGTACAAAGGTAGGGGAGATAAACTCTCTTAACTCCCCCAAGGAAAAGAAAGATTACAGATTAGCCTAAAATAACTGATTTCTTCCCTCCCCTTGTTTGGCTAGTGCATCTGCAAAGGAATTGGCGCATCTCTTTACCCACTGTAATCTCACTGTCATACCCCGAGCCAACCTCTTGAAAGTTCTTTTTTCATTCAGGTAGCTCCACATGCTCCTCTCCTCCTTTTGTAGCCAATCTATTACTAGCTTCAAGTCTCCCTCAATTATTAACCTTTCTACATTAAGCTCCTTAGCCTTTTTGACACCTTCCAAGACACCCAAAACTTCAGCGCAAAGTGAATCTCCTTCCCCTACTGAGCCTGAAAACATGGCAATAATTTCACCCCTCTCCTTCCTAAAAACCCCTCCAATACCTGAAGGGCCAGGGTTCCCTTCACTACTTCCATCAAAGTTCAGCTTTATAAAGCCGGAATCTGGAGGAGTCAACTGTGGTAAAGTGACTTGACATATCCTATTAGGATTGCCCTTGTTGTATATTGTACATGTGTTTTACTTAGCTTTATTTTCTTTCAGCCCTATAAGGCACTTCTGTGGGGTGGGATCAACTGATTCATTTGACACCCCTGAATCTGCATTCTCTTCTGCTTGAACTAGGGTTGACAGAAAGGGATTTAGGGAACAAAGAGATAGTGAGCCATGTCATACAGCATTGAAATAGATTCTTCAGCTTCTTACATTAGAACTCTAATTTGAGATTGCACATACTAATTGTTCATAGATGCCACCTATAAGAGGTCGTTTGATAATAGCTGAATTGAATGAGCATCTACTTTTAGTGGATAAAAGTAATTAAATAATAGAATATTTGAGGGTACAGTAATCAATCCAAAATGGAGAAAGGTTTTGTGGAGAAAACAAAATGGAAAATAGCTTGGAAGGTAGAGGCTAAAGAGTTTCTTTTTGAAGAAATGTGGATTAAAGGAAGACTTAGCCTGAAGATAGTGGAACAGAAAATGGCTACGGTGCTTGTGGAAGGAACTGAGATGATTGACTGGCTGAAAGAGTTCCTTTCTGATGCAGCAACTAAAGGGAAGCAGTGTATATGGAAAGAGAAGTTATCCCAGATGGGTAGAAGGTACGTAATGCAAAGTAAGAGGAATATAAAGGGATCCTTCATATCTCTTTCTGAATATCTTGCTAAAGGAAGGAGGCAGATGGTCTGTTTTCCTGAAGGAAGAAACAGTCAAGGGTGGAAAGGAGTGGCTAATATTTTATCAAACTTCCTAGACAGAAGGAAAATGGAAAAAACAGAGATGATGGTGAAAGGGGACAGTGGCCAGAGTTTGTATGCTAGCACTCCTAACCCACCTGTGGAAGAGGAACCAAAAAAGGAGCTCCTTGCATTGGCACATAGCAGTAGTAATCCTTCCTTGGTAGCAGACAGGAAGTCAGGGCATTGGGACAACATGCTAATCTTAAAAGCTGAGAAGAGGGTATTAGACTGGAGGAAAGTTGCAGAACTCCTGAAGGTTAAGCTGTGCTTGAAGAAGATTATTTTAACTCCGTTTGAACAAGAGAAGGCAGTGCTGGACCCTCTTTCTTGATCTCTCCAACTGTCTCATTCTCATCTTTGAGCCCCTGTTTTGCTACTGAACCAGAGAATCGAAAAAGCACTTTTCACAGTCCTTTTTGGTCAAACTCCAACTTGCGGTGACAGAAATCTCACTAATCTTCGTTGGTTCTCATCCTGGTCATCCTTCTGACTTAACTGAAGTGATGGTGAATCACACTACCACAAACTGAACAGCGCATCAACATAACATCTCCAACTCCAAGTTCTTCTCAATTGAGATAATGTGACTGTTCAGTTAGTTGGGCTGCCATTCCATCTGTGGAATCAGGAGATTGCAAACTCAATTGCTCTGCTGTGTGGTGCTCGACTAGATGGTGTTTTCTGGGGAGATCTACGTAGTGCAGCTCTTCTTCTGAGTAGAGTAAAGCCAGAAGAGATACCGAGGAAGGTGACCATTGGAGTGGAGGGAGTATTACTACCGGTGTGGTTAGCAACCTCCATTGAAGCTGCCTTGTGGAGGGAGGCTAAACAAGAGGAAGACAAAAGGGCTGAAGGGTTGGTGCTACATGGCAGTCTGGGGATGGACAAACAAAAGCAGATGGAAACTTTCACCAAAATGTAAAGACAACTTTTAAGCAGCCCAAAGGTTCTAGGTCAGGAGAATGGTATAAGACGTGAGCAACAAGGCAAGGGTGTGACAGTCAATAGAACTTTCGTGTAGGCATTATCTTCTGGCGCCAAACTGAACAAGTTGAATGGGTCAAATAAATCAAATTTACTTGAAGGAATGTGTGTTTCGAAGGGGGCAGCTGGAGAAAAAGGGGTGCAAGCAGATGGGCTGAAACAGACACGTGGGCCTCTAAGTGGGCACGTGGGGTCGGGTAAAGAAAGCCACAACTTAAGGCCGAAAGGAAATGGGCCTATTCCAGATGGGCCAGCAAACATATTTGGGGAAAAAGGGGTACAAACTGATGGGCTGAAACAGGCACGTGGGGTTGGGTAAAGAAAGCCTTGACTTAAGGCCGAAAATAAATGGGCCTAGTCCAGATGGGCCAGCAAATAGAATTGGACCAAAAGGTAGGTCATGTGACTGTCTAAAAAGCCATGTGATAGGAGATAGGATTCGAGTGACACTAGATGGTTCTTATGGTGTATCATCGTCCCAACCCAAGCCCAACCAAACTGAAAAACAGAAAGATCAAAAGACTACGGGAGGAGTTTAGACATGGAAACCTAGGCTGGTATCCTATTCTATTAGCCCAGAGAAACCAAACCCAAGGTACGATTGGCAAAGGGATAAGGATGATGTTTTCGACTCAGATTGGGTTAGCATCAATGATGAAAATACAGATGATGAAGTCTTCACAGTTTCCCCTAGCCCAGGAAGTGTGGAAAGCAAAACAAAAGCTTTGGTTGATTCAACGGAGTTGAACGGTCTTGCGTTACTATTTGAAGAGAGTAGTATAGGATTGGAAGTAGGGGCAACGACGGTGGAAAAGATAAATCCTTCGGATGAGAGGGCAACTCAGTCATAAAGGGAAAGAAAACCAGGTAACGTATAGGATCAAGGACAAGAAGGAACAGGATGTAGTAAAACACTCCCACTGGCTCTCGACAAGGCAACGACAAACCCCTTATCCCCGTTCTCTTATCCAAGTATTGATCCAAAAACCAAAATTTGTCACCCCTGGCAAAAGGCTAATTTCCAAAAACTAGAACCTTCCAAATCCTAGTGTGTCTCCCTCACAGTTACAAGGTATGATGTCTCCTTTGGTTTGTGTGGGTACTAATCTATCTTCTAGTCCTTTACACACAGGTGAGACCAGCCCGACACCCAAGTCTGCCATTGCCAGTGTTTCGACAGAAATGGTGGGTAGTGATAAGATGCCGACAGCTGATGAGGAGGAAGGTGCCAGAATCTGGGAGATGATCTTGGAGATTTTTAGGATCTTAGTGAAGGATGAACTAGAAAATGAGAGGAGAAAGGGTGGGGAGGGTGACAGTCCTCAGTCTAGGCCAAAAGAGGTGTGAAAAGAGTTTGAGGCTTTGATTACAAAGAAAAAAGGGTCAAGAAAAAGTAAC